TAGGACAGAGAGAATAGTGGTATGTTTTTGTTTTTGATAGTTTGTGTGTGTGTGTGTTTGAGAGAGAGAGAGAGAGAGAGAGAGAGAGAGAGAGAGAGAGAGAGAGAGAGAGAGAGAGAGAGAGAGAGAGAGAGAGAGAGGGGGGGGGAGGGGATTTGATAGCTTATTTTGAAGGCAGATCCAGCAGTAGCCAGGAAAACATTGCCACCAAGAAAGTAGGTTGTTCCAGGTTAATACACCTTCTCATAGTTGAAAAATGGCCCATTTTATGTTGTTCAAGATTAGGCTTAACCCAAACTTTCTTCCTCCAAACTTTCTTCCTCCAAACTTTCTTTGCCTGCGCTTTTTTTTTTTGGGGGGGGGGGAGCTTGTTGCATGTGGTTGGAGGACGTCACTGGTTGGTCATAAAATTACTTCATTACTTTATGCTTTAGCTGTTTGTTTTATTTTTTCCCATGCATTAAATAACCGTCATTGCGTATGTATATCGGCACCTATCTTTATTCAAACATGACCTTTTTTTATGATATGATGCTGACTTTGATGTGTCCTTTCTTCTCTCATTTCTTTTCCCCAAAACTGTTTGCTCTGCTCCCGGGAGACCAGATCTCCATCAAGTTCACCAACGATCCGCCCCAAGGCATCAAGGCGGGCCTGAAGCGAACGTACACGTCCATCAGCCAGGAGTATATCGACATCTTCAACTTGCCACAGTGGAGACCTTTGCTCTACACCGTTTCTTTCTTACACACTGTGGTACAGGTAAACTGAAACATGCCCCCCCCCCCCTTTTCCCCGCATTCTTTTATTTATTTATTTATTTATTTATTTATTTATTTATTTATTTATTTATTTATTTATTTATTTATTTATTCATTTATTTATTTACAGTGGAGTCCGCCAAAAGTGAACACACTTTATTTGAACAATCAGTAAAAGTGAATGATACTCTGTGGTCCAGATTGAAACGTTTTTTTGTTTTTTTACGTAAAAAAATAGTGCATAAAATGAACCAGTTTCATTTGGAAATCGGATAAAGTGAACGCCTATAATGAGTGAAAGCGTGTCACTGTTGCCCTGCTGTGAAAATAAAATTCTTTGTCTCGGGCATCGGCAGACAATCCCAGCTCGGCGTTGGCGAAGGCAATAAAAAAGAATGAGCTCTTGTCCAGGCTCGCCCGCTGTGTGCCCCCTCCCCCCAACCCACTCCACCCTCGACCCACCACTGCAAGTAGCTACTGTTTCTAGGCCTCCCCCTTACCAAAATGGTTAAACTGAACCTCGGATAAAGTGAGCACTTTTTTATCCCATAAAGTTAATTTTAAGCGGACTCCACTGTATTTATTTATTTATTGTTGTGTGTTGCCCACTTCGTTTTTTGCTAACGTTTTGAATGCTGACGTAATGCAATTCGCTCCCCCCTCCCCATGACGTCACAGCTCTAAGAGCGGAAAGTTTGATCCTTAACTCCCCCCCCCCACCCCCCCCCCCCCCCATATAAGCGAATTGCTTTTAAAATGACCGAAGTGGGGTATAGAAACTGGTAAATGATCATTCACATTTCTGAGCATTGCGCGTGTGTGTATGCGTTCTTAATTCGAAGAACAGGGCTATAGTTATCCCTGCTCACCATGAGGATATAGGAATAGGACTTCAAAGAGGGTATATAATTATTACTTTATGTTGGATATCAATGATTAAAATGGGATGATGGCGGAGATAAAACATTTCATTGGAGCAATTTGACACTCATTCTCATGACAAACTGTTCAATGGTAATTTCCTTCTTCACAAATTCCTCTTTCAGACTGCTTTAGTGTTTTATTTTCAGTATGTTTCTCTTTCTCTGTTGAGCACACTGGCCAGCCTCCGCGGCAGTGATTTTCTGGCGTGTTATTAGCTGGTGGTCACTGATTTTCCATATGAAAAGGGAAATGTTTGATGACGCACACCTAAAGTGTCGCCGTGCGCATAGGTAAATGATAATATATTATTATGAGCTGGAATTTTTTATGCCGACAGACGAAAGTGAACAAGCTATAGATTCAGAAGCCTTGCCTGGTGTACACAATTCACAAGACTTCAATGATTGATATAACCCGCCCAAAACTTCATTCAAGTGTAGGCCCTACACACACAAATATATATTTTTTTTTCGGGAAGTGTTTTACAGGGATCGCAACTGCATAAGGTCATATGAGCGCGAGGAACACATTAAACATTTTCAGTTGGTAGGAAATTTTGAATTTTGCCCGGGTGGCGGCCGAAGCCTACTGTTATCAATTTTAGACCGCCAAGTGATCTTTATCGTGCGCAACTTTCACACGGGACCTCCGAGATTTTTCACT